CAAAGATGTTTCAAGCCTTTTTAAGGATCACTGTCACCTGTGCCGTGGCCGTTGGTGGTGTTGCCTTGGGAGTCGGCACTGCATCTGGCTATATCTCTCCATGGACTGGCCGGTTTTATTCCTTGCTAGACCCAACATATGCCAAGGATCACATTCCTATTATTGCATCTGTCTCTGAGCATCAACCAACAGCTTGGTCATCTTTTATGTTCGATTTCCATATCTTGCTCTTCCTTTTCCCTGCCGGTCTCTACTTCTGCTTCAAGCGGTTGTCAGATGCCACCATATTTATAGTAATGTATGGTCTTACAAGCATGTACTTTGCTGGTGTCATGGTTCGGTTGATTCTTGTTGCCACACCTGCAGTTTGTCTTATTAGTGCTATTGCTGTCTCTGCGACTATTAAGAACTTGACACAGTTGGCAAGGGCAAAGGACAAGGTTTCTCAAACTGGTTCAGCCAAAGGAGCCAGCAGCACAAAAAGTTCTTCAAAGGTGAGATATTTGCTCCTTTATATGCATACATACACTTACAGTTTTGATCTCTTGCTCACTGTGGAGTACAGGGTCCATACTCACCAAGTGTTTGAACCAAATGCAGTGGCAGCTACTGAATCTCTAAATAGGAAATTTATTTTTATGTGAACATGGTTAGTATGGATTTTGACTCTTAGCGGTGAGGACAATATTGTGAGTGTGTTTTTTGTGCACCATTAGGAACTAGTTAATGCCAGCTAATGTTTTGTTCTGTGGTGATTTTCTTTCGAGATATTTTGGTGGTATATATCAAGTACTATTTTTGGTTTTATGTTTTTAGTTACAGTATATAGCAGTATCTTTGCTAAAATTTGTGTTACAAACAGGGTTCAATTGATCAATCTCAGCCTTTTCAAAGAAATGGTGCTTTTGCCTTACTTTTTGGTGCATTTTACTTGCTTAGTAAGTATGCAACTCACTGTACCTGGGTTACATCAGAGGCGTACTCATCTCCCTCAATTGTTCTGGCTGCAAGGGGTGCCCATGGGAACAGGGTCATTTTTGATGATTACCGTGAGGCATACTTTTGGCTTCGTCAGAATACTCCTCCAGATGCTAAAGTGATGTCATGGTGGGATTATGGGTACCAAATCACTGCAATGGGAAACAGAACTGTTATAGTTGACAATAACACCTGGAACAATACACACATTGCTACGGTTGGGCGTGCAATGTCATCTTATGAAGATGAGGCATACGACATAATGAGATCGCTTGACGTGGACTATGTTTTAGTTGTATTTGGTGGTGTTACTGGTTATTCTTCTGATGATATCAACAAGTAAGTCGCTTGTTATTTCATAATACTTGTTTATGATCGTGTTGGTGGACCAGTGTAGTTATGCATGTGTCTTACTTCTATCTCTACCAATGTTTCCAATTCATCTTGAGAACCCTTTTGTTGAATTTAAGTGAAAGTAATATTCTTGTCTGTTATTCTGCACTCACGATATAGTAATACTGTAATAGTAATACAAATTTCTGTATGCCAGATTTCTGTGGATGGTGAGAATTGGGGGTGGAGTATTTCCTGTGATTAAGGAACCCGATTACCTTGTTAATGGTGAATATCGTGTTGACAAAGGTGCAGCTCCCAAGATGTTGAACTGTCTCATGTAAGTTTCATAACACAGCTAAGATGTGCAGACTTATATTATGTGTACGTACATGTAAGATTTTTGAACAGAGCTATTAATTTCATCTTTTTCTAGTGGGATCACGCCTTACTTCATTTCACGAACATAGTATGAAAGAAAAAAACACATGCGTCCAAAGGGGTTCCATAATCCAAAACAATTTGTTTGTATGAAAATCAGTATGGTGATTTAAAGTAGGCAAAATGGAAAACATATGCTTGTTACACTGAGCTTATGTGTATGATTGTTCTTTTATGAATGAATTCTTTAAAACTTTTAGTAATCAGATAACACCTTATACTTGCTTGAAATTAGTCGAAGAGCTGATTGGCTTTGATGATTTTTTGGTTTGCAATCCTTAAGGCCTAGTGATTGATATAAGTGGGCTGTATATCATAAAGTAAATTGAGTGTCGTTTCTGCTGGACCACCGGTTCTAATGTGCGAGGTATTTGGGTGCTATCTCACTCAAAATTAATCCTAGACCCTTGGGTGAGTTATCCATTCGGAGATTATTATATTATTTGTGCTCCTTATGTATTATGTCAAGTTCTGTACAGGAATGATTTGGTTTTCGTTTTGTATGGTGATTAGGTACAAGCTGTCTTACTATCGATTTGGAGAGATGACGACAGAGTATGGGAAACCACCTGGGTAAGTTTCATGTGTGTTGATAACAACTATAGGTGTGCATGTTACTGTGCAAACAAACGCACAGCACAAGTGTAATGCAAAAGCGTAGCACATGGAGTATGAGACACTACCAGCAATTGTCTAAACTGATTGAAAAATGGAAAACCTATAAACCGGAGCCTATGCATCCTTATAGGGAGAATGGCCGTAATATGCAAGATTGATAATACTAGGTGCTCTTCCTAAGTTTTATATTGCATTAAAGGCTGCAGTAGGCTGGTAATTCTCCATTGGCTTGGGTTTACACCACTAGTTGAGGCCTAGTACGTTATTGGGTGAAAATGGAGAGTACATTATTGCATAAACACGTGTATGTTGTGTGTGTTTGCAATGCATCAGCATGTGCTACCTATGCCAAATTGCTGATTGCAGTTGTTTTGTTTGACAGGTATGATCGTGCACGGGGGGTTGAAATTGGAAATAAGGATATCAAACTTGAATACCTGGAAGAGGCATTCACAACATCCAATTGGATTGTTCGTATTTACAAAGTGAAACCACCAAATAATAGGTGGTAAGTCCGGTGCAGTTGCAGCGACAAGAAGGAAGGAAAGGAGAGGAGTGAAGGAACATGGTTAGATGAAAGGCGGAGAGCTAGGAGTCTTGAGATGTAGTTTTTAGAAGATAGCAAAAGCGTATTTTTCTTTTTCGTAGACTCGGTTTGTGGCACTGAAGGCTCTTTAGTAACTGATTTGATCTGATCCGGAACCCCTGATTGGAAGCCCGTCATTTTGCCTCCGTGAATTACCAACGGTTTTGTTTATTTGTATCGTTGAGAAAGATTTTATAAAGTTACATTTAAGCAATTTTAATAAGGAAGACTAATGAAAAAGGCTTAAAATTTTGAGTTCTAAACGATAAGAACAAGATAAATGGCAAAGTGAATAGTATTATAATTGATTTTTTAGTGTAAAAATGTGATTTTTCGTTAAAATAAATAGTACCGAAAGCTTTTTGTTAAAGTCCTTATTTTAATTTAAGTCGGACGATAAATCATACATGCCTCTACCTTATGCTAATACCATTATTTCTTATTGGGTAAATTATATAGTAACTCTTCAGGTTTGAGGTCTATTACAATCTTATACAACATCTTTAAAACATTTCATTTTTATACTATTTTATTTCAAAATATACATCCGTTAGATTTTTCATCCATTAATTTGTTAGATGCTGACGTGGCTATTATATTTGTGCTGATGTGGTTGCCATGTGGCAAAAAAATAATTTTTTATACATTAAAATATTATAATATTAACCTTATTAAAAAAAATTAAAAATAAAAACCTAAACCCGGATCCCCTTTCTTCCCCCTCACCTCTCTGCAACTCCCATTTACAAAATCCACCGCTTAGGCCACAATTCATCCTCATTGAAACCCTCCCCAGTCCATGCCATTCATCTTCTCCCCTCCCCTTTGGTTTTTTCAACCAATTTTCTTTTGCAACCCCACACACAACATTCCAACATATTCAAATCATGAAATTGAACAACAATTTTCTCAATTCATACACATAAATCCAAGACATTAGACCCACAATACCTTTAAGCTCTGGAGTGAGGACGACCCTGCCATCCCAGCCTCGAACCTATGCGACGACCGCGGTAGGAACTTGTCGAAGGGGGGGAACGGAGCTTTGCACGTGTTTTTTTTTTGGGGGGGGGGGGCGGGGGGAGGGTGCAGGTGGGTGAGGTGGGGAAGGTTCTGAGGACGGGAGGGACCGACCGGGGGGTCTAGGAGCTCGAATTGGGAAAAACTAGGGATTTGGGATCTTACCCGTGAAAAACCCTAGAGAGATTTTTGGGGGAGCTTTCTGGGTTTCGCGCCGGGGGGGGGGGATAAGCTTTTCTTTGCTACGAAATATGGCTGCTTTTATGCATTTGGTAGTGGATGACGGCGAGCATACACACGTAGCAGCAACAGGAGCAATGATGGACATCATGGCGAGCACACTCCCTGCCTGTTCTTTTTCCACCGTCAAGCGCTCTCTCACTCTCACACGCCTCTCCTCCTTATTCCTCCTTTCATCTTTCTCACTCCCACATCTTCTTCTCCACCTGAGGGCTTGCCCTCTAGTTTTTTCTTTGACATTGTTTTGGTGGGACCCGCGTTGATGGGTGCTCCGGTGGAGGGGACGGATGGAGGGGTGGATGAGATGGATGGACGGGAAGGAAGAGATGGGTAAGGGGGTGGGGGTGGGATGTGGGGTTGCGGGGAAGGATTTCTGGGTTTTTGTGTGTGTGTGTGTGTTTTTTTTTTTTTTCAAAATAGGGTTAATATTATAATATTTTTAATGTAAAGAAAAAAAAATTGCTACGTGGCAGCCACATCAACACAAATGTGGCAGTCACGTCAGCATTTAACAGATTAATAGATGAAAAATCTAATGGAGGTATTATTTTGAAATAAAATAGTACGTGAGGTATGAAAGTGAAATTCTTAAAGATGTTGTATGAAGTTGTAATAGACCTCAAACCTGAGGGGTTATTATGTAATTTACTCTATCCTATTCTAAAAGAATAAGCATTTTATTAACATTTTCATTAGAAAGTGGGTGGGAAAATAAAGAGGAGTAAAAAAGCAAGCAAATGTTGGTGAGCGGTTGGAGACGGTCAAAGGGTGTAATATAATTAAAAGAGGGAAGAAAGGAAGGAAAGGTAAAAGCAAGCGAGCGAACGAGGCCAAACGCCCTTGGGGATTGACGATTGATTGCGATTTGCGATTTGCGATTGAAGCATGAGCGGCGGCGGGAGAGGCAGAGGCACAACAGCACCAACGACGAGCGGGAGCATGACGACGACCATCACCCTTGAGAACGCGGGCTCATCGTCGTCGCAATCGGAAGCAGTGGTGCTGAAGCTGAATCGGAAGAAGAAGAAGCAGGTGTCGTGGAAGGAAGGGACGGTGGACAACGAGTTCATGCAGAAGAAGAGCTCCAAAAAGTGCTGCATCTTCCACAAGCAGAAGCCCTTCGACGAGGACGACAGCGACGATGAGGAACACCATCACCACCACGATCACGATCACAATCACCACCACCACCCCTCACCTTCTTCTTCAGGCATTAACAGCAACTCCGTCTGATCAATAGTCAATCTATCTAGTATTGGAATCTGAAAGAGTGGATTGATTGGATAGGATGGATTTGATTCATAGTATTGTGGATCTGTGATGGTGTTTGTGTACTGCGCTTAGGTGTTTGTTAGGAGGAGGGACGAATGAATTAGGTTTAGGTTTTGTGAGTGATAAAACAAAGAATTGTAATGCCCCAAAATACATGTTGTTTGGGTTACGTCATTGAGAATTGAGAATTGATATATGATTGATATATATGATGCTGATGAATTCCAGTGATGTTTTTTAATCCAAAACTTGTAACTTGCATCCAAATGCAATCTGTTAGACTGCTTTCGTGGTTGAAAGATTAAAAAAATAAAAAAATAAAAAAAAATCCCAACCAAATGTTTGCATCAAGTGTTTCTGATAACAATTGGTTGCTTCCTAAGCTCGCTGAAAACACCGTCGGTCGGAGCACGGAGGCAGAGACATGGGCTGGAAACTGGAGAGGTGGGTGGAGGCAAAGTTGCTTCTTATTGAGTGTGTTAACATTAAGCCATTGAGCACAACCAAGCAGCAAAAGATGATAAAAGCAACAAACAGAGCAAGTGGAAGAGAGTTTTGTGCTAACAAATTCAATTTGCATTGCCAATAAGCAACAAACAATTCTGCTGTAATGCACAGCCTCACATTCATTATCATTATACAACAAGTAATATATAGCATGACCCGGTTCAAGAACACATGACAGCAACCAAGAAAAAAAACAATAAATAATTTGGTCGTGTACCAATACCATCTCCATTTCTCAAGATGCGGCATGGCATCCACTGTTTCACTTTTAAGTGCTGTTATTAACACATTGCTGCACGTACGTCATCTCTTATTCACTGTAATCTCCTACCCTCTCTCCTTCTCAGGTATGTTTCTCCCGCTAGAATTATAATACTGCACCAGCTCTAGAATATGTATGCCTTTGGGCGGAATCTGTAGCTGAGTAACTTTCAGCCAACTGGATCGAGTGTAAGGAAACAAATCCATGATATCATGGTGCTAATGAATTTCTCTAATCAAGGGCTTTTTTCCAGCGGCCAGTTATTGGCTTTGGTAAGCCATCAAAGATTGGTCTGGCCATCGTTGCAGTTGAGAGAGCTTGAAGGTCTTGTGTCAAGCTCCACCTTGAAGTTGGCCAAATTGATACCGTGTTATTACTGTCTTGGTCTTTTAAGCTCGGTGTGCTTGATGACTTGCGAACCACAGCCATGTCGTCTGTCATGATAGTGATAGAATCCCCCATTCCCACCGGAACAGAGTTCAGCCATCCTGAATCTGAATCAGATTGCAACGATGCTCGGCTTGATGATTTCTGCCTCATGGCTAAACCATTTCCTGTTGAAGCTCTGGTCCCACCACTGTTTTCCCCCTTTAACAACCTTTCTGGTGTGACTGCCCCATCATCAACTTCAGCTTTCTGACGCCTCCGGACTGATTTGTCATCAGATTTCTCACCCTGCCCATCTCCAAGTTGTGCTGCAAGGTAATCAGCCATTGCACCATTCTCAGACAAGAGATCAATGGAAGAATGTCTGGACTTGTTAGGGTGACTTAGAGGGTCAGACAATGGTGAGACCGCGCTTTGATCAAAGGATTCAGAACTTCGACTTCTGTAGACAGCCATCTCCATGCCTTGCGCTTTTCCCTTCAAATTCGGAGATCTTAGACCATAGTATTTCTGTAAAGTGCTCATTGCTGTAGTGACCTTCTTCTCTTTGGGAGGTTTTGAACCAATAGATTGGCCAAGACAAGGAGTGGATTTTTCAGTGTCGTTTTCTCTGCAATAAGTTATACAAATGATTAGCTTTATGCAACCGGTGGCTACATATAGAGACCGAGATGCACTTGTGCATCCATTCCGAAATGAAAGTTGGTAAAGAAAACGCATCATAACATTTGAAGGAATGCTTCTTTTGTTATAAACGACAGAGAGTCTTACGGAAGGAACCCTAACATCAAGTTTTCAGGAATGGTAAATCTACGTTTGAATTGAAAGAATTACCTTGAGGCGGTGGTTGTGGTTGGAGAAGGAATAGAGGGAGGATGTCTTCCGGGCAAAGGTATTTTCAAGGTGTTCAAAGCAAACATTTGAAGATCTGTAGCAAACCCATTCATCCTTTTAATGTCACACACCTGTTTAGTGTTTACCATCTATCAATTCCATAGCAATTTTTAGCAATTCAGACTAGTACTAAATGTAATTAGGAACAATGCGCAGGGCAGGAAGCTAATTAAGAAAAGGTATTTCAGAGAAGAGTTGGAAACCTCGACGCCGTATTTGATGGCAACGCCGGCGAGTGTGTCCATCTTGGAGACTTGGTGCTCTATGTAATTATTGCCGCCGCCGCCGCCTCCTCCAGTATTCTCGACCGACCTTGGATTGGAAGGAGACATAATTGATCTGCCACTTTTCTCCGATCTCTCGTCCCTTGGCAGCTGTGGGCTTGCCTGCCTCAAATCCAAAGTCTTGGTTGGGAGTGGAGAGTTTTTCAGAAAGCAAACCGACACAAGCAGATCCATACGGCATACAGTAAAACAAGACAAAGAATAACAATAATATTTAAGTTGTAGACAAAAATGGAGTCCACAAGAAAGTCAAATGCTTCTTCTTCTTCTTCTCCTTGTATGGGGAAGAAGCATAAGGGAGACGGGCAGTATTTACATTTATTTTTTAACATTAACTATGAATAGTAATAATAATTATTATAATTCCCTGACGCGGTACGACTGAGCTGAGTTGAGCTGAGGGAGGGCGTGACGAGGACTAGGGGTGGATTTTTTTGCCAAATTGCCGTGCTAATCGAATTGCCAACCGTGCCATACCCGATTTTTGCCAAATTTTTTGTACCAATCGGTAATGGTACGGTATTGTACTGTACCGAATTTTCATGGTACGGTATTGGTAATGGATACTATTACCACGATATTACCGTACCATACCGAAAATACAATATAATTTATAATTTATAATTTATATAATACATAATTATATAACACATATTTATAATATTCCAATAATTTGAAAATAAAACCCTACTTATATTAGCATGTTGTTGGTGACTTTGATCTCTTAAAATTGTGGAAATCAAACACAAAAGAGTTCCTAATTCTTTCACAAATAGCCAAAATATCTTTGTAACCCCCACTTCTACTGTTGCTAGTGAAAATGCATTTAGTCTAGGGAGGAGGGTTGTGAACCCTTTTAGGGTATTCTTGACTCCTAAAATAATTGAGGCACTAGTGTGTACTAGTGGTTGGCTTAGGGCAGGTGAAGTAAACTTCTACAAGGACCAACGGCGATATGCTTCAATTTTACAAGGAAATAGAAGAAGAGAAAACAAGAAAGATATGCTTGAATTTTTTTAGTAAATTTGTTATTAAATGGTTTTCAACTTTAATTCTTCTTGCTACTAATTAATATGTTTTCTTTGTTTGTAATGTTAGCTTGATACAAACTCAATCTTCTACAAGTTCAATGCCTCCTCCAAAAGCTTCGACAAGTTTGAATAATTAATCAATGAATTCTCCTTCTTGAAGTTTACTTCCAATTTTCATTTGGTTTGAAACTTTAATTTCTATTTGGATTGTTAACTTCTATTTGTTTTGGTTCGTAACTTCTATTTGGATTGTAAGCTTAATTTTCATGATGAATCTTGATGCTTCATTTGAATTATTATGTGTGTGAATTGTGAATGATGAATAATAGATGAATTTAATCTATAATGTATGAGATAAAGGTACAAAAAAAGAAGTTTTGCCCTTGAATTGGGTTAAAAAAACAAAAACATATTTTGTCCCAAAACAAAATGGCAATTACCATTGACATACCATGCCAACCAAACTTTTGGCAATACCGAACTTCGGTATACCGAAAGTTTGGTATGGTAATGGTAATAGATTTTACCAAACTGAAAGTTTGGTATGGTAATTGGTATAAGAATTTTGGTATGGTAACCGTACTGAACCCACCCCAAGGAGGACAGCGGACAAGAACGACAGAGGGATGCCGAACCGACTACCGACACATCTCTCAGCCGAACCGACTAATATGGTATTTTGGATCGTTCAATCAAGTCACGAAAACGAACGACTCTCCCATGTCGGGGCCCCACCTTCCCTCCCTCAAGTACTCGTAGTCTAGTCGTGAGTATGTATATTTCCTTCCCCACATACATTTGGAGTTGATGTTTGTTTGTTTATTTTATTTCCTATTGTCTTTTTTAGGGATTTTGTTACGGAGAAATGTTAGATAAATTAACTTTTTATATTAAAGTTACAATTGTTATATGTCACTAATAGTAAAATAAAGTATGTTACTATCAATAATAACGTCACATTTTTATAAATTTGATATAAATAGTTGGTTTCCCTTCTCAAAGAACAATACGGTGTGACATGAGGAGGGAAAAAGAGGGACACTGTTGAACTATTTGATTTAATCATTCATTTATACATGTGCCATACACGTTACACACTACTCCATTGCATCTCAGAAAATTGTGTATAGCACTTTTTTTTTAAATAATAAATTAGGTGTGGAGTCCACTTCACATTGAACTTTAACAATCCAAACCGTTAATTTTGTAAGTCTCAACTCATGGATTATTCTTGCGAAAATTCAATTCAAAAAATGGTTTTTTTTTTGGTAAAGCTCTTTACCTTTGGTTTGGTAACAATTCTTTTCTACTCCTCTTTTGAGTTTAGAGTTAGAGAGGGAGTGGGTGAGGAAAAAGGAAAGCTAGATAGATGATATATAGATGAATTCAACAAATACTCCTCCAATTAGACTTCACTTTCCTTTCTTCCACGTTTAATATTCAAATTGATGTTTATACTGATTTTGATTTTGAGGCGGGCAGACAAATGCATGTGTTGGAGTTGCCATCATCGGCCCACCAACCACCCCCCAATCCAATGTGAACTTTTGAATATCATACACAATGTGACTTTTGGCTATTAAACTCTTGAGGATCAACCATCCAATAAACACGGCCGAAAATTCCTCCTTCAATTTAACTTGAAGCTTGCTTTGGCCACACCATGGCAATACCAATCTCCATTTCTACTCAACGTATATTGGCATTGGCAGTCAAGTTCATCAACACTACTCGGATTTACGATTACGGCCTTAAACTATGTGGTTAGGACACCTAATCACAATTTGGGTGGGGGTGGGTTGGGCATCACAATAATAAATATATAGATAACAATATAAAAACCATTTCAAAGCTCAACTACAATATAACCCAATGAAGAAAGAAAGGCAAGGCATCATTACAGACATATCCCCAACATTACCATGGTACCCAAATCAAAAAAAATTACACCACAATCGACAACACAGATCATGCACATAAAATTCTCATAAATTTGATGATGAATCTACAAAAGAATTCGCAACAACGAAATATAACGATGGACATTTACCTATGATTATCGGGACAATATTTAGAGAAAAACAACTGTCACTAACTGTTAATGTGTAAGCCCTCCTCTCTCTTTGTTCAACAATTGGTTGCATATCTGCTAACTGTACCTACCAAAAAGAGACAAAGCAACCATTTAATTAAAAACTTAATACAATTATAAAATCAGAGAGAGAGAGAGAGGAGGAAGCTGGGGGGGGGGGGCGTGGTGAGGAGAGCACATAATATTCGTAATTACACACAATGCCACATAGCAAACTGGAAAGAAAAAAAAAGCACAAAGGATTCGTTCGGTGTCTAGGATTAAATATTTCACTATATTCAATATATTTTGAAGGCAGATACTGAAAAATTGTGTCCAACCAAAAAGTAGAAGAACAATCCAATCCCCCCAAATGATAGGACGAGAAGGGTCAAGTTTCCTTCATGTCTAATCTTCCACTTCTAATCCCCTAAAAATGAAAAATCATACACCACTACCTTCAATATACCTTGAATTTTATGAGTTATCCATTCCAATTCAATCCTAGACACCAAACAATCCCAAAAGGTCTTGCAACTTGGAACATAGAGCTATGTTAAAGACTTTCATAAACTAAACGAATCACGCACATAACTGCTGCTAGAAATATAGTAAAACATGCACTTGATTTCCTCAAGTTTCAGTATACTAAAACAAAAGAACCTCATTCATGTATGGATTGGCTTAGAAAACTTAGTCATACAGAAATACTCATACTATCCAATACTGATACAAACAAGACAACCTAATTTGAATGGAAAAGAAAAATAAACATTAAAATCTAGATTTGAATGGATGGAAATATTCATACCATCCAATACTGATACAAACACAACAGCCTAGATTTTTGTATGGTCTAACTCTTTTGAATGGATGGAACACCACATAAAAATGTCATCAGCACACAACTTCAGGTGATTTTGACAGAAAATTAAAAAAAAAAAAAAAAGAGAATTATGAGTATTACAATTTAACTAAAAATGCAAAAAGTAAGCTCCTATGAAAGATCTAATGTATCAAATGAGTCAAGAGTCCGACTAATCTGAAATCCGCTAGTCATAACTGTCATATGTAGAAAATTGGAATATAAGCAGAATAACTACTTCCCCTATAGCTTATAGTTAACTTACTGCTTAGAATTTGTCTCTCATAACTTCCACATTTAGGAAGTGGAATATGAGCAGATAATTACTTTCCCACTAGCTTATAGTCAAATTACCACAAAGAATTTATAAAAGCACTCCGACCCACCTTTACATCCAACCCCATCTATTCTCCACTTTTTGTGAGTAACCTTCAAAAGCTGGATACATAAAAAGGGGAAAACTCCGGAACAACTTGATCTTGTGAAATAAATATAAGCCACATATTCTCAAATCTAGAGAATAGGGTCACTGTTATACATCCATAATCATACATGATTGGGATGGTGATCAGAGTAACACACAAAAAAAGAACGTAAGGTTCACTCCTAGAAAGAGTATGTTTATTCCAAGGGTTAGACAACATGAACCTAGAACACTGAAGATGGTGATTTTAGCCACTACAGATAATAAAACCTAGTATGTCGTGGCATTGGTGCTTATGCACCTCGTAAATCTCTCACCTATAACAAATATCATAACGTCTAGGATATCAAACATTATCCTAGAGAAGTCGTTAAAGACACCTTCTACAACCATCTGATGACATACGGGTGATATCACCCATATCACAATATGGTATATATGATACATACCAAAAAAACCAATAATTATGAGTATCAACTATTGCAGCGGCATTTATGTGTGTTATACACTATGGTTTAGCATTATTAGATATGCATCCACAATTCACATCTGTATATTTCCAAAGTTCTTCATGTATGCATTATAGACTTTAACTAGTTCAAAGAAGGAGATTTATAAGATTGTTGAGGCTTGATTGAAATGAATGGAGGTCTACCAGGACTGTTACATGGAAGATATCTTTTTAATACAGAGTAAGCGTTCAACTTTTATGTCATGTTAGATCAACCACAAATGGGAAAGTCATACCCTTGTCAGTGTTTAAATATGTACTTTCTAGCATTTTTCACTGGTTGCATGTTTTCTTCCTTTTACCTAACACTATAGGACCCGACCCTCATATTCGTGTGTGAAGGATTAGCTACAAATAACTCATGCAAAGCAATGTCTAAGGTACAATGTAGTTGCAAGTTTGCCACATAGAAGGCTTACGAATAAGTAATTATCAAACAAAGACTTCAAATGTACATGACTTTACATGAAGCACAATTTTATGAAATAGTTCGTGCATGTCCATATGAGTTAAACTAGTGATGCAAAAATAAAAGGAGCTAATAGTCCCTGTTTGTCAAGATATAAATGACAGAGTTTGACAGGCACATTCAAGCTTGTTAGGTCAGAATAAACCAAATGGAAAACAAACATATATGAATGTGTAAGGTAACAAGTGCAATACCAATTGTGCTCAATCAAGATCTTCTTGCCTAGGCTCCTCTGATCCAGAGTTATGCCTTCCCCTATTCCCTGAGTTCGACTCCTCATTGTTTCCACTCCCAGTATTGCTAGTCTCGGCCGTACCACCCAATTGCCTGAAAAAGCGCGGCAGGGAGATGGTAAACCTCCGCTCCACAGTTCGGGGACTCGGACTCTGATTGTCTGGAGATGGCGCGCCAATTCCAAACCCAAACCCACTACTACTCCCACCGCCGCCCACAGAAATATTGGCTCCACCAAGAGCCCCAGATTGACTAGTTTGATTGCCATTTCCAGATTCCCCACGAATCCTCTGCTCGTATTCAGAATCATCGGTGGGCAGCTCGTGGCGACAGACAGGACATGTGTTGTGCAATTCCAGCCAAGGCAGAATACAATCCGAGTGGTATATGTGCTTACAGGGCATCTGTTTGGCCTCCTCACCGAGCTCGAATGAGTCCTTACACACAGCGCACTGCGATGAATCCGAAGCCAACAACTCCTCTGAGATTTTCACAACCAGCAAGGCTTCGATCGCCGATTTTGAGGCGGGTGGCGTGCCGTACCTGTTTGGATCGTTCTCGGCTAATTGTTGGATCAATTGCTCGAGGCCCGGGCCGAAGAAGTAATCGCCGAGATTAAGATTGGTGGGAGCACGAAAGCCTGATGGGTCCCCGCCGCCGCCGGGGGTGCTATCGATCACGAACTGGACATTGGCACCATTTGCCCTTAGGGTTTGCAAGTAATTCTGGAGGAAGACGAAGGGGTTGAAAGCGTCGGGGTCGTGAAAGGGTGAGGAGCGTTGGGGTGCGCCACCGAAGAGGGCGGAGAGATCGTCGGCTATATTGGCAGGGCCGGGAGCGGGGCCGGGGGCGGAGGAGGAGAAGAGGAGGGGAAATCCGCTGGAGGCAAAGGGAGGAGCGTCGGAGGAGGGGAAAGAGAAGAAGGGATTGGGGGGGAAAGGGCTAGGGTTAGGGGTTTCCATCTCTTCGAGGAAGCCGCCGCTGCAAAGAGGGCAAACGAGATCGGAGGTAGGTGAGGGGGTGAGGGAAACTGTACGGTCGCACTCGTGGCAAAAGTAAAGCTGAGGGGCGATCGGACCGCCAACACTGCCGGAGTGGCCGCCCGAGGACGACATGTCGCTAGGCTTGAGAAAAGAGAGATTTGACAGAGAGGGCGGGCAAGGCGATTTATATGGAGGACGAAACAAGGGAGACCTGAAACTCAAGGCTGAAGGGGGAGGGAGTTTTTACATTTTACCTTTTACATTTTACATTTTACATTTTAGAGAGAGAAACAAGAGAGAGAGAGAGAGAGAGAGAGATTTTGTAGTGGAAAGTTGAATGGGTGGATGAAATATGGCGTTTAGGCGAGTGCGCGCGCCGCCGATATAGGAGTACACGAGCAACACGACGGAGGTAGATGACCAGGAGCGGACTCATTGTCCAAATACAGCACTATTTTTTTTTTTTCTAATTCAATTCCTGATTTTTCATCCTATTTAAATGGTTTTTCCCTTTTCTCTTTTAATCCTACATGGGCTTTAGATTTTTTCCATCTAATGATTAATGTATAAAAAATAAAAAAATTAATAAAAAACACTTTAAAATTCTAAATTTTAATAAAAAATTATTTAATAATAAATACAAGAAAAAATAAAAATAAAAAACCTAATGAAAGCGCGTGCAACTCAAACCTAGTTGCCAACGTCTTTGGAAAACCCAGCATCAATTCCTCTCTTTGAAAATTGCAATAAATGGTGGGGCACTGCAGGACAAGGATTGTCTGCCTTTTCATTTTCGATGCCCTTCAATATTTTTTTATTTTATGTGGTCATTGTTAAATCACGTCAATATTTTATATTTTTTTTTTTATAGAAATAATAAGACAAAAATGAATAGTAATATAAAATGTTGGCGTGACTTAACCGTGACCACACAAACAGAAGAGCATGGGAAGACACCGGAAGTGGGAGGGCAGACAATCCTTATCCGGCACTGCAGGCAGACACGGGGGTTTGTTGCTAAATCCAATAACAAGCAACGTTTTGCATGGCGCCAGGAAATAGCTACTATCACGATTGGAAGAGGGTTATGTTAAAGAGATTAAATTTGAAGATTAAATTTTGTAAATTAAATAATATGAAATAACTTATAAATTTAATTTCTCTACCATTACTCAAGAAAAAAAAATTATTTTCTTCACGCTTTCCTTCAAATTTAAGGCAGCTAAATCTTCCAAATTCTATGAATAATTTATGTTCGTCAAAAGAGGATTTGACCCACCAAAAAAAACTACAATTTCATGGATATATGTCATCAGAGATTTCTTTTACTGCTTGCATATAGATGGCCGTAGGTTGATCACCTTTCTCCAAATTTTATCCAGCTTAATGTTATTTTTGTCAACTTGAGTAAAAGAGAAAAACTAGAAGAAAATGTGATAATGTACCATTAAAGGACAAATTAACACATTACAAGACTATAAGAGTTGATAATCAAATTAAAGAGAGCAAAACAAGAGCAGACTATAAGTCGTTATTTGTTACGTCCTACGGAAACTTTAGGTTAGGAATATATGGTGGTAAATGTGCCACATGCCACAAGGGAATTTGTTTGTATACTTTTCTTTCTCATGATTTCTTACATTGTGAATTGTTGTTTAATAATATAACCTTACAGCAAAGAAGATGGTACGTAATTATTTCTCTTAAAAAAAAGAAAAAAAGAAAAGGGTATTCTCATAATCCTTGCAAGCGAGGAGTGAACATCACAACATGCACAATTGATGGATGTACCCGATATGAGGAAACATTTGCACAATTGATGGATGTACCCGATATGAGGAAACATTTCCACACTACATAATATTGTTCTTAAAATAAAGAAGGTTCAGAAGCAATCGAGAAGGCAGAAACCCTAGGAAATAAAAAAAGAATGACTCTCTTTCGATTAAAAGGAAAACCAAAAGAAACCTCTAGCTTGCTAGCTCAGAGATTACCTTAACCGGTCAGCTAGCTTTGTGCCTTTGTGTTGGTTCATCCCTTGCCAATTGCCATGCATAAAATAACTAGTATAAATAGAGACACAGACATGCCTACATCTTCATCAATCAATTTCAATAATATCTCTGTAACATATATAGATATAATCACTTCTTCGTCTTGCTAGAGTCTGTCTAAAGATCAAAGAAGAGAAAATTTTCATGGAAAACAAGGCCACAGCTGAGTCCCTACGCATTTACGAAGACTTTGAACCCTTCTGCAAATGGAATGGACGCGACGAGATTGAGCTCCATCTTCGCAGTAATCACTTTGTATTATCTTTTTTTCCTTAATTATGTTGGAAGGATGGAGCCCTTACATTAATTCCATTGCATTTCCCCCCGCCAACTGCCTGAAATCATGCACATATGCTCACACAATTATTCTTTTCTTTTAAACATAAACAAATGGTCTTCCCGCGTACTTGTATGCATATATATATATATATATATATATATATATATTAGATAAAGAATTAATGCATATATGTTGATTTGAATGATCATTTGATATTGTTTAATTATTTTTGTTAACTAATTATTGTACTTATTGTACTGATCGATGTCGATCAGGTTTTAGAAAGGAACACCTGAAGGTTCAAATTCATAAGGGATTCGTTATAATCCATGGAGAACGTCCTTTGAAGGAAAGTAATGGAAACACATGGAGGCGCTTCCACAAAGAAATCAAACTTTCAGACAAGTGCAATCCAAATGACATTCACGCTAAGCTTCACAGTGCAGGAGTCCTTACAGTGACAATGCCTGTAGCAGTCAATGCTGGTGATTATGATGCTAATAAACCAACAAGCTGCGAATTTAAGGGCCAAAGGATGTTAGTTTCTAGACGATTGAAAGTGGGAAAAGATGTTACAGTGAAGCTTCTAGCGGCAGTTGCTGTGATTGTAGCTTTTGGATTTGGCGTATATGTTGTCAAATGTTACAATTAAACAATGGACACCACCATCACCATGTATAGATATACCATATTAATAAATGTTTATCAAATTCTAATTAATTAATAATCACGCCTTTGAATGTGTATTCTGTTGATTTGAAATGCGAATGGTCCGTGCATGTATATTTAATATTTTCTAAATAGTGTGAAGTGTCATCGGTTGCGGGGATAGCTCAGTTGGGAGAGCGTCAGACTGAAGATCTGAAGGTCAGGTGTTCGATCCACCTTCACCGCACCCAATTTTTTCTTTTTCAATTCGTTGTTTCCCTTTTTTTTAATGAAAAAAGCGAAGAAAATAATTATATATGAATGTGACCGAGTCTGAGTGTGATGGTGCTGGAGTGTGGAGAAAGAGAGATGGGTTCGAGAGGAGCAGCGATGGTGGTGTCGCAGCTGACACGAGCAAGCAGAATGAGGACGAAATTGCAGAGGGCGTTGGAAGCGAGCGTTTTGGAGATTGAAGACGTGTCGCATCAGCACGCCGGCCACGCCGCCATGAGAGAGAAGGCCAATGGCAATGGCGAAACTCACTTCAACCTCAAGGTCGTGTCCCCAAAGTTCGAGGGGCAGAGCCTGGTGAAACGACACCGCATGGTCTACGATGCCTTGGCCGACGAGCTCCAGTCCGGGCTCCACGCGCTGTCCATCGTGGCCAAGACTCCCCAAGAGATTGTCCTCAACCCCAAATAATAGGATTCGAAATTCCACCTAATGAAAACTCTTTTGTGGTTAATTCAGTTGCTAATTGCTAGTGTTTTATTTATGCTGGAGGATTTATCAGATTATTATTATTATACTTATTATTAATAATATTATGTAATTTTTGCTGGTTTTTAATGTGAAATTGAAATGGTTGCTTATACATACATGGTGATGATGTCCAATTTCTTTCTTCCAGAATTATGATATGCGCTTTGATTATAATTTTGCAGTTTTCAATTGCAATTTGCGCTTGAATGAATGTTTTGCATTTTTGCGAGTACTGTGGGAGAGAGAGAGAGAGAGAATGAGGCTGGCTTGTGAGAGTCAAAAAGTTGTTTTTTTTTTTTTAAGAAAAAGGAAAAAGAAAAAAGAAGACAGAAATAGAATAGAACAGAATAGAAAAGAATGAAAATGGAAAATGATTGTAGGCATGTTTTGAGGAATGCCAACCGTTTTTCCTTGGAATTAGTTGAGCCTCTACCTTCATTCCGGCCTCTCTCTCTCATCTCTCTCTCTCATCTCTCTCCGTGGCCTTGGGCCTTGCCTTCCTTCCCTCTCAAGTCTTAACGCCTTGCCTCTGTTGTTGCTGCTGTGTATGTGTTGTTGTGTGGTTGTTTCCGGTCCCGTATCATCCAAGCCAACAAACTAGCGAAGGTAGGCGCACAAGCATACACATTCACACTAGCAACAATGAACAACAAGGCCTCCGTTTCCAAAGACCTCAACGCCAAACACCTCAAGGTATCCTTCATTTTCAGTCGTTTTCTTGTCCTTGCACATTCTCGTGCTACACTTACAATCCCCATTTATTGTTTCTGTGTTGTGTTGCACGTTGTTGCTTGTGCCTCCAGGTTTTAGAAGGCCTTCTTAAGCTGCCACAAAACAGGGAATGTGCTGATTGCCGGAGCAAGTACGCATTTCACATCCCTCTCTTTTCTTTTGTCTAGTATATTTTTACTACTGTCTCACGTGCTATTCTTGGCTATATTTCTTAGTGATGGTCTTGATTGTGGCAATTTGATGTCCATATTAACGTTATCTTCGTGCTGCAATGTATTTCTTTCAGAGCCCCGCGATGGGCTAGTGTCAACCTGGGAATATTTATTTGCATGCAGTGCTCAGGAATTCATCGGAGTCTTGGAGTGCATATTTCAAAGGTTTATTTTTCTACCTATCATTTCTCTATTTCCTAGTTCATATGCTGTTCTTGCCAGTAAACTTTTTTTCGCCCTTCCTTTCCTGGCTTCTCAAATTCAAACGGATTGGTACTCATGAAAGTCATTAACAAATGTCTTGTAACTCTTCATTGAAGAAATTGAACAGCCATGTGACTAAAGAATTATTCTTGGTTTCTGAAATTGTTAAAGATTGATAATGAGGCCACTTAATACCTCTTAAGTAATCGAAAATGTTTTGAATGACAATGGTGATTGGCAAAGCCTAAATCTGCATTGAGTTATTTACGTGTTCTGGTCTACTGAACTACTTTTATCAAAGTTGAGTAATATTCTATTTGATTGTCAATCTGTTTGAGTAACATACGTTTTCATATTATTGCAACTCTATGTTCTAATAATAGCGTAGCATGGTTGATCTTGGAAATAGGTACGGTCTACAACTTTGGATACATGGCTGCCAGAACAGGTTGCTTTTATGGAATGTAAGAACACGACTATGGTAACTGATACTTGTGCATTGTTTGTCATCTCAGTGACATCTTTTTCCTTCTTTTCCCTGAAATAATTTAACCGAAATAGTTGTTAGAAAGCATCAGTTCACTATTCACATTTTTGCTCTGTGTTTTTAATTTTTTCTGACTGACTACTGTGTTCCAATTCATTATCCTGCTAATCAACTCTCTATGTACTTTTGTGTAGCCATGGGTAATGAAAAGGCAAACAGTTATTGGGAAAAAGAATTGCCACCAAATTTTGACAGAAGTGGGACTGAGAAATTTATTCGTGCCAAGTAAGTTGTTTTCTAAAGCTAATTATGAGCTTCATGTGGAACATGGAGAATGTGTTAGTTATCATTTCCTTCTGCTCTTGACTTTCTTCGGAACCTTCAGGTATGAGGGGAAAATGTGGGTTTCGAAGAATGCAAAACAGCCAGCTCCTAAACCAGTAGATATGAGCATCAGTTCCAACAGTTTGGTAAAGGGCGGACCCACACGTGGAGTTCCTAAGAAAACAAGGAGACATTCTCTTGAGGAGGCAATGCTTTTTACGAACCTGGCAGAAGCTGCTCCTACAGTGGCAAGATCCCGTGGGGTAGATTGTTTATTTGGTTATGTTTGCTATGTTATCTTGATGAAAATGCTCAAGTTGTTTGGAGGTATTAGGTTCAGAAAAATGTTTCTTGCTTCTTCCTCATACTTTGCATCCGTAATAAACCTGTCATCTAGGTATCACTAATTAGGGAGTTTCTGTCACTTGGCGCGTCTACAAGTGTGGAATAGACAGCTTTATGTGTGTTTCTGATCCTGAATTGAGTTCTTATGGGTCATGCTCATTCTTAGATCGATAAGGGAGCTTTTAGAAAACTGGCGGTTTAAAGCTGAGAGCAAGAAAATCGAGATTCTTTGTTGGCTTGGCGATGTCACTTTCTTTGGAGATTATGAGATTGAGAAATTAGGTCTAGTGAAGCAAAAGAAGTTCTCTTTTGCCTTGTTGATTTCCCTAATATTTGTCGTATATGATCCATACTTGGATTTCATAGATTATTCAGCTGCTATTTGCCTCTACCCCTTAATATATACCTATCATACTGCACTTAGGCCTGTCCCAATTTTTTCTTCCAGAAAATGATCGATCCATACTAAGTAACCTAAAATATAACTGATTTCACATGTCGAAAAGATGAAACGGAAGAGAAAAGTCACTACTCATCAGAGCTATCTGCTTCCGTGATTTGTTGTATGTCTACTCTTTCATGTCTGTTTGCGTGCCTTGTCAAATGTGTTGGTAATGCTCTTATCTTTGATAAGTAATTTTTATGGTACTTTTGACAAGTCGAAGACGTTTACTAGTTAATTTATCTTGTTTATTGCAGGGTTCTTTAGATTTGAATCATAAGTTTAGTACGTCACCTCCAGCAAAGGGGCCACCACCAATGATGGAATGTGATACAGTCACAAAAAAGATCAACGGTACAACAGACCTATTCAGCTTGCTTTATGTTCATGATGCAAAGCAGAAGTATGCCACTCCTCCGCTCTGGCAAACTTTTGATTGTAAGAAAACTATAGTAACATCTTTCTTTTTGTTATTTGTTTACTATTTTGCAGTTGGGAAGGAAGTAGTAAAATTGAAGAAAGGAAGATGGAAAATAACTTGAATTTGAGTAGTTCCTTAAAAATCCCCAGCTAAAACATGTTTAACGCATGGAAAATGACTTTTACTGGCTTGTAAAATTGCGTGTTAAATTGTGAGCACTGGACTCGGCTCTAACCTTGTGACTATCCATGATTTGCAGGAGAAGATAATTTTAAGTGAAGCCCATGGAATTCACTAATGTTGAACCAGCTGTGGAAGTTAACGCCATAGTTTATAACTGAACTAGAGTGAGCACTGACTTTGTATTTATTCCTACCCTAAAATTGTAGGGTTGGACATTGGACATCAAGGTTTGCTGTTTTAGTTGTCACACACTAACACCATGGAAGAAAAAAAAAAGGTTTAAAATAAAAACTGGTATCAAATGACATGCAAGAAAATTTTCGCACTAAGTCTGCTGAATGTCATTAATTGGTTTCTTTCCTGCCAAATTTCGTTTTTCAGGAGAAATTTTTCAATGTAACGGGAACACGACTGGGTACACTAAGTGTCATAATACAAGTGATTGAAAACTTGTATTATGATACTTGGTGTACCGGCCCATGTTCCTAGTACACTAAAAATCTCATCTCTCATTTTCAGTTAGTTGCAACTTGCAAGGATGAGGTTGTATTTGCGCTTGTTCTCATGTCGATTTGCTTGTTCGTTCAATCGTTCTACACTGCATACATTGCAAGAGAAGAAAAGATCTGAAACAATCAAAAGATTTAGTGTTGGACCTATGGCCGCCTTCTCCAATGTCTCCATCTCATATTTTTTAATAACGCAGACTGGAGAAAGAATTAATGTAATAATTGTTATAAGAATTATTAAACAGAACAAAGATGTGTTACTCGCAAACAATTAATTGATCTGCTTCGATGATTCATGATTTGAACTTTTGGAGTCCCACAATCCAAGGAATATTGTATATAATAAAGTACGAAAAACAAAGGCCCTTTATTATGTATTATGTATTATTATTATTATTATTATAAGGGCACATACAGCTTTCCCTAGATTGTGCAAATTATACGGTCAAATTTGCCGACACTGTTAAGTTGCTGGACTGTCATGCAAATTAGAAAAGAAACCTGAATTCGCCTTTCATTGCCACTTTGATTAACCTCCTTAATTATCATGCATGCACATATACACATGTACATACAGTTGATCATTGGATTAGATGCTAATTACTTATATAATTATATGTACAATAAGATTCAAAACAAGTGTCTTGATCTTTTATGCATTAGCTCGTTTAATTGGTTCATTTTATTTTAAACTGGAGATTGTCAGAAGAACAAAAATCAATAATTGCATTGCATGTATGCTTTGTTTGTGTATAAAAGTGTTCAACTTGGATGTTGTATGTTGTTATCAAATTGGAAGGGTTTGACCCAAAAGTTCAATTTGGCTCCTACGGATATGGATATGGAGGCAGCATATCAATAACTTCCCATACTTTGCTTTGTTATATATATACTTCTATAAGAATAATTATTATTATTATTTTGCCATTGTGTATATTATATATAAGAGTGAAATGACATGTCAACTGCTGTCCCTCTCTCTCCATCCTCCTCGCTCCTTTCAAGTATCTTCATCTAATTTGGTACATGATACAGTGTACATCGTTTAATATATAATCAAGAAATATATATTAATTAGAACCCTTCACTTCATGAATTAATCAGGAACGAACTGAACCATCTTAATTTGAATTAATAGTCATAACTAATAGTCATAACTGATGCATGCATGCTTTTGTCGTCCATGATTTTAATTCTGTCACCATCTATATACATATAATTCATGTAAATATAAAATTAACCGGACTTTGTATAAAGGGGGCTGTAATGAGGTGGGGAGCACAAATGTTGTTAACTATGACATTAATTAATTAATATTTACTTAATTACAAAGGGTCATCGTCAAACCAACAAAATCATGCATGTGCACATGGGGAATCCATGGGGCTGAGTCATTACACTAAAATTGGTTTCTTTATCTATATTAATCATTTCTGTCTCATTTTTCATTTTTCGTGATGAAGATACTTTAATATTCAGTTTATATGAATGAAAGATTTTAAGAAAATTATATTTTTATATTACATTGGTGTATGTAAAAATTAATGTATACATACCATGAGGCAAATGATGTTGGTTACCTGTGTCATGTGACACACAAATGTAATCCATAAATATAGTCTCTCTAACATTATTATGTACATACATATATATAATATGATATATCCATTCAAACTAATTAAACAACCAACCGCATGATGAATGATGAAGCACCTAATATTTTTTAATTTCGGGCCCTTTCTATTCCTCTCTGTCCAAGTTAACACAACACACTGTGGCTGTGTCACTGTGTGGGCCTCTTCCTTTTCCTATCGGATAATATAACATTGCCATTTACCTGGCTAGCCATGTGTCGTGTGTGTGTGTGTTTTGTGATCACAACTTGAATTGAAAGATTACTATTAATTCCGGGTTAGTTTCTAATATGGAAAAGGTCAATTTTTTCCTTTTTGCTAGGCAGGAACATAGTAATTAAAATGTTAAACAAAGTATTACCTAGAAATATTTAGGACAAATATATTTGGTTATTTAGAAAGAAGAAGAAAAAAACATCCAATAAGAATAAGCTGCTTTTAAGGATTCAATCATACAAACCCTAGATTCTTGTCCTTTCCTGCCCTAGCTAACAACTCTCTCTACCATCAACTAATTACTTTACAAATTTATATATGAATTAGCTAAAATTCTACATGCTGGAAGGAATTGCAATTAGTTAGATATATGTGTTATATTTAAATATGTATATTGTATAGTGCATGTAAAGGAATCATGATTAATGAAAAGGGGATGGCCATAGCTACAATAGTGTTTGTATTTGGTTTGATATATATATATATTGCAAAATGCAAAAGAGCAAAGCAGGTGCCGCCCAGCAAATTGGAATTGGTGGCTTTGTCGTCCTTAGTCTTCCATCCCAAGCAACCAACCATTAGTTTACCAAAAAAAAAAAAAAAAAAAAAAAAAAAAGAAGCAACCAACCATTATATCATGTAAAGACTCACCAGCAATACAATTATATATGCATTTTGTTTTTGTACGCCACTCTAACTCTCTCTCTTTAAGGGAGGGGGAGGGGGAGGGGACCCACTAATTCACCCATTATTTCAAGGCCATTATTCAAATGAAAGATGAAAGACCTTCCAATTCCAATTCTTCCTTTCTTTGAATGTTATATACTTTGTTAACATATATATACATATATATAGCTGCGTAGGGCCCTTCAAAATATTATATATATAGAGTGACCCTTCCTTGTAGTAGCAGTCGGATGGTATATAATAGTAGTAGTACTAGTAGAGATGACTGATGAGAGGAAGAGAGAAGAAAGAAAAGATATGTATCATATCATATAAACCCTAAATCCATGGACAGTGGCCACTTGGCAATTAGGGCTACGGAAAAGTTAAAACAAAAGGGATAGGGCGCCGCTTGGTGGACACCCACCACTAGCGGCAGCGCTTCAAAGTTTCCAACGCCCATCTTCAACCTTCTCCTCCTCCTCTCTCTCTCTCTCTCTCTCACTGGTTTGGTTTCTAGTGGGATATATATAATGTAATGCGTATAGGGCTATTTGTATTTAATATAGCGGTATAGCCCCCTACCAGCACAGTGAGTGTCACTCCAACATATGTCTCCATCTCTTTATACAGTCATTAATCAAGCGCTAACTACTTCAAGCAATCAAGAATACAATTCACTATATATTCCCTAGGCTGTTTGCTTAGTTGTTAATCTTAGTTAATTACAAGCAGCTTCCATTTATCCGTAATTACATCAGTAATTAAACAAAAGTTGTGGTTTTTCAATTCTTAGAAGATGATATATATGCGTGTGAATCTACTTAATAGTCGACATTTTTTGTATTTCTGGTCAATAATTATATGTGATAACTAACTCGATGGCATGGACATTGATCATAAAAACTTCTCTTCATTATTTCTTATACGTATATAGCTCTGGTTATCATAATCTATAGCTCGTCGATATCTCGCATGGCGGCATGGGGATGGAACAATATTCTAGTGGAATTGTTTATTAATCTTGCCGTTGCCGATTCAATCGGAAGAAAATTAAACTGCAGTCCGCAGGGAGCAGTTGCCGTCAAATTGGACCCTCTAGTTGCTCAAACATTTTCATTTTAAAAAGCATGCATGCAGTGTACTGTATATTATATAATGGTAGAGGATAATGATATGGCGTCAGTGGTAATTAAGTTGGTGACAAAGAAGCCAATTTATAAACAAAAGTAATCTTTGGACAAATTCACCTATTTATATACATATCTAGATATTATAGAATATTGCTGCAAACAATAACATTGTTACACCTGTCATCTTATAAAATGGAACAAGAAATCAAAGACATAGATCTAAAGGTTTTTGATATATTTCTGGGCAATACCCTTTTGACTATTTCTGCATATAATAATTATTATTTTTATATACTGTGTCCATACTCTCAAAAGTCTATCTTTTAGAACTTTTTTCACCTTAATTCTTAAATTAATTGCAAGTAGCCCTCTAACATAATGGTGGAGAGAGAAGTGTTTCCTTTACACTGCGGTGTGAGTTCAAATCCTGTCGATTTTCTAATCTAACAAATCTATCGTTTAACAAAAAACAAAAATAAAAATCTTAAATTAATCATCAAAGCGGGCTAAACACTCCCCTCGTTTTACCATGAAATCCTCTAGAAAACGTAGATGGAAAACCCTTCAGAATTTATTTTTATGACTGAATGAAAGTATTCAGGTTCAATATTAAACGTGCTCAAACATGCCAATGGCAATTATGTATGCATGCGTCCATTACTTGAAGTAAATTGTTAAAACATAAACTTCCGTTTCTGTTAATTTGTTGATTTGACGCATTGTCCTTGATAGAAATGTAAACAGTACTTCAATTGGCAAAATTGAAATTGATTGTCCACAAGTGAAAGATCCTTCAAACTAATAGAGCAATATATTCATAATTAGTGAGATATCCCAATCATGTTTTCACTTATAATTAACTAAGCAGGGCTGTGATTGGTAGCTAGTACTATATATAAACAGGTTTATTCTTGTATTCTAATAAACTGATTTTTCATCAAGAAAAAGCGATCAAGCTCAAGTTTGTCACCGACTTATCAATCAACTACGTACGTACATCAAATGAAAAGGAAATCGATGAAGGAGAACGTGGATATTATAGCAAAATACTCCAAGAGGGGGTCGCTGGTAGGCATGCCTAAAGAGGGATCTGTGACATCGGTGGGTCTAGCTATCTTAAAAGTATCACGTACATACATTGTATCAAAAGGAAATTAAGCTCAATTTGATGAGCCAATATATAGTAAATAAATTAGAAATTATAATTAAGGGCCATCCATCTACTTTAGGAAAAAACCAAGTCAATTTATTTGTTAATTAATGTTTTAATTCTTATTTGATGTCCATCCTATCCCTACATTAGGTTATGGAAATTAATTGAAAGCCCTAATTTATGCATTCAATTTCCCTTTTAACTTTGAACTTTTGAATTTTGAATTTTTGTGTTGTTGTCATGGTCACCAGCAACATCAAAACAAAAAATGTCAAGTATTAAAATTGCAAATAAGTAATATGAAATACCTTACTAACATATTCAAAATGATTCTTGTTGAAAAAAAGAAAAGAAAATTAACTTGGGTAACCAAAAACTAACACAATTATTTACAAGTGAGAATACGAAAACAGATATAATTTTCTACCTTCGACAAAGATAAAATTATATATTATTTACCTTTGAAAAAGATCCGACATCATTATCTTAA